TTTATAAGCTGAATGACTTACAAGACACCGTTCCTCACATACATCAAATGTCATACATCCATCATTCCAAGGCACACCCTTCTGGAGAAAAGGTTTCTGTCTGGATATTGGAGCATTAAACTTGTCACTAATGTTCTGTTTGTCTTGCTCATTAGTTTGTATAGGCAAGAAGTCTGAATCTGTTTGGGGGACATTTGCACAATAAGAGGGGAGAGGCTGTTCATGGTGAAGCAGGTAAGAAAGAAATGTTAGTCTTTTATTTATTTCATTTGCTTCCAAGCTGTGGTTCACCATGACCACCATATCATTTCCTGCAAAACTCTCACCTCACCAGTGCTCTCCTGGTAGTTTACAAACATTTGTAAACTCATGGGGAATAAGTTCCCCAGCTCTCAGTTCTGTGGCAATTCAATTATACAAATTTATATAATCAAGTGCCTTTTCAGTAATTAAAACTGAATTTTCTAAATTCCAACTTTTCTACAAATTCTTCACCTTTCCCATTCTTTGTACATAATCAGTACCATTTAATTTACTCACATCCAGGTAATTTACTTCAGAACTTCCTATAAGTGTTACTGAGATTTTTTTATTTTTTTTTTTAATCAACTAGCACATGACATACCAAGGAAAAAGTTCACCTGCCCAGTTGATTTGAAAGCATCTGAATTTTGCACTTACTATATAACCTGTTTCCTTACTCTTTCCTGCTGGTGCTGATATTAGCCACTTAATGACAATTGACCTTTTAATTGAAATCTGACACAAAAGACATAAAACACTCAAATCCTTCCACTCTCACCCTCCAATAGCCTTTCCTCTCTCTCAAATAACTTCTGATTTATATGCTTGCAGCTGGCCTTAGCAAGCTAACCTAGTTTCCACTTCAAGTGATCTTCCTTTTCATGTCTGAAGTATGTGAAGAGCTCTTGATTTAGCTAGCTCAGGCTCTTACTGTACTTCCTATCTTTCCTCTTCAATGCAAAAATTTCCAGTGCCCTTTTGTAGAACTGTCTTAAGGAACTGCCAGGTCTCTTATTATCCTTTCACTGGGACCAGCTTTCCAAAAATCTTACCTCCACTTGCATGTACAGCAGACATATTTACCACCTGCCCACTGATATAAATCTTGACAAGGACATTAAGGATCAGAAGGATCACATTATTCTTTACTCAGAAGTGGCTGGGGACTCTCTCCACCTTCTTCCACATCTTCTAAACAACAGAGTTTCTTCATTAAACTCATTAGCAATCAAAGAATTCAAATAGCCACTGCTCGTGACCTCCAGTAAAAACAATATGCAGATATCTACAGATGATAACCATGCAACTTTCTTTAGATTCTAGTCAAGTGATTCTAGTCTTCTCTACTTAGTATTCCTGCATCCAACCCATTCATCTCTCCCTTGAAGTCATTATGGTCAATATTGTGATCTTTGGTGTTCCCAAGATTTCTAAGAGCTGGTGGTATCTTTTAGCATTTCAACAAAAACAGTACAGAGAGCAACAAGGGTGGCACGCTGTAAGACTAAAGTGCGTCAGTCTCTTAGATCTGCATCCGTTGGGTTTTGTTGTTGTTTTTTTTCTCTCTTAAAAGTTTTATTCAACTGTTTTTGATGGAGTTACTTTGAAGTGATCCCTAGCTTACAACTTGAAGTAAAACTTCTTTTAGAGCAAACATGAAAGCACAAGAATTTTCAATCCATAATACAATCCAAGAACTGAAGTCTGACTGATAATAGTGATTTTAAAAGCAAGAGGGACCAAGACTTAATCCTCATAATCTATAAAGATTTCAGTGTAGAAATTGGAAGAAAATTCAACTACCTCAGCAGTTCAAAATAATCTAAGTAATTTAAGATCACGTCTGCCACTTGTACACTTGTTATTTAGTTACCTTTGAAAATCTCTCTGTACTATCAAGTTATTAGTGCTCCCTGTCTGTAACACTACCAATATAAAAGCAATGCTTCTTTGGAATTGGGTTGCTGTTTGTGTGCAGATTAGTAAGCACTTTTCGCCCATAAACATGATTAATTCACAATGTTTAGAAAGTTTACATTCTGGACCAGCCAAGATAAATCACTCACAAATTTATAATGAAATTCAGTCAGCATATCTTCAGTAAATATTCTTTGAAGTGCTGGAAATGAGAAAGCTGGCATTTTTTATTCTTTTTCCCCCTCAAACTCATAAGAGAACAATACCTGGCATATACCAAGTTTTCCTAAAACACCTTTTTCAAAGAGTTCACAGGGTACACATAATTTGGAACACTTTGATCACAAGTGATTGTTGACAATGAGCTAACAAAAATATTCAGTACTTCAGCTACTCAGGGTTCAAGACCTGAAATGATTTCACCCAACTGACATTTTAACATCAAGGCAGAGCTAGAAAAGAGAATAAGATGCAGATATAAATACAATAACACAAGCTCTTGCCTGCTCCACAATTTGCAAATGATCAAATAACACAAATATCTGTATTGCTCCCGAACTCATGATTATAAACAACTTGTTCTTCTAATTATCTGTAATTATATACACGTACTCAAACCCACCTTGGAATGCAACTGATGTTCTCAGCATGCAATGTCATTCTGCAAACAGAAGTCGAGGCGTGTTGGATGGGGCATTTTATCCCAAATCTCACATTCTGCCCAGAAAAAGGAACAGCACATAACCAGACCTACTTAGACAGCACCCAAGAACTAACCTTGACTCACAATGACAGTTTATCTACAGTCCTCTCTTTCTTCTGAGAAGACAAAGGGGGAAAAATAGATGATTTAAAAACCAAAAAGGTCTGTTGAGCAGAAGGAATGGACCCAGATTTATTCGTACGCTGTTTTATTTGATCCCCACTGGGGGGAAATAAAAAAAAATAAATAAAACAGTCCAGTATACATCCTCCTCATAATTTGAGAAGGGCAGGAGAAAAAGAGGATGCCCATTTGTCTCTGTTCCTAAGTGATGTGTATGAAGGCACATTACACTGCAAATGCATACTAAAATGTGGTTCACAGTAACATGTAAAACAGTAGTGTAAAAATTAAAATAGCAATGCATCTAGTAAAACTAAATTGATGAAAAAAAATTTGTATTAAAGCTGTGAACTGTCTCTACACTGTCAAAGGCTGCTAACTAACCCCAAATATTACATGCAATCCACATCTTTCCACAATATAATCTAATCTTGTCATTTGAAGCCTCCATGGACAGAAGATGCTCACAGAACTAGACAAAGATGACAGATTCTTCACAGAGTATTTTCAGAATTTCTCAGACATTGTTTCTAGTCTTCACGTTTTTATTTATGGAAACAAGCTTTGATCCACTGCTTCACTGAGGATGTTCTTGGACAAGTTCCACTTGATATCCTTAATCTTTTCATCCTGAAGTCCCCAGAAAACAAAATGGTGCCTTTTACTATTCTTTTACCAAGCCTTACAACTCTAGCTCTATATGGCATGAAAGACTCCAGATCCAAAGATGATCAAGACCACATGACTGAAGCGTGAGTCAATTGTGTGCAGATCTAAGATCCAACACTCTAAGGTTAATGCATCTGTGTTGAAAGCGTATAATCATCCTGAAGTATCTTCTTTGTTTTGTGTTTTTGTTTTGTTATTTTTTTTAAAGAATGACAAAAAAAAAAAAAAAAAAAACCAACACAACAGAGTCTAATTTTATGTGCCTGGGAGTAGCTATCTAAGCTTCAGGCAATACAAACACTGCTATTACTAAGGAGTAAAAGCTCTGCATAATTAACAAACATCATCAGCCTTACAGTTCCTGTAGAATGTAGTAAGTTCCTTGCCTGAAGGCTGCTCTCAGCCTGGTAAGTCTGTTTACCCTGTCCAAGATTAGATTAGTTTAATTATTATGAAAAAGACTGCTAAGATCTTACAGCCTAATTATGCAAATGTTTCTAAATGTTCACAAAAGTAATTTATTTATTTGGAGATAAATGAATCTGTTTTGTCATAAACCAGATTGCAGTCCTGGCAATGTACAAGCAGGGTTATGTGCCCTTAGGCGTATCTTTCACCACAAATGTCAGTGGGACCCCTGGATTACAACATTTATAAATACATAAATGGTTTTTAGCAGGTTTTTATTGTTTTTGTAAATTATTGTAATCCCAGAAAGAACTATCACAGGTTTAATACTCACCAACCTTGTTATGAAAACAGAGTTTCACAGCAGAAGCATTTAAAAGATGCTAACAGCTAAAACTTTCCTGGTAGACCTATTAAGGTGCACCTGTTTTATTATGCTTTGGAATCAATATCTTCAGAAGAGTTCCCTCTTCCTAGTACAGACTCTTGCTGCTAAAATAACCTGCATCAGTAAAGTACTATTATTCTAAATAAGGTGGTAGCATTGAAGGCAGACAGTGCTAAGCATATCTGGAAGCAACTCCTTTTTACATTAGAAATTCTGTAGGTTTTTCTTGTAAACCTCATTGCAGCTTAGAGATTTAATTCTTCATCTACGTGTAATTACATGACAACACATGAAATAGATGCAGAAAAACGATTCTATATTTAGCTACTACTCTAGTTTCATCACTATTATAATGGAGACAACCCCCAGGCAGCACACTGCTGCCCTCCGTGAACTCATGCACATTCAAAGCAGAGTGTGTTTCAGAACAGTAGACACTTAAAATCTGATCTTGACTGCAAGGAAGGCTGTAAAGCTTAACACGTTGCACTACTATGTAAAATGGAGCAGGACCTAAGCCCAACAAAAGACCAGCCTTTAAAGAATCAGATCTTCTTATGGCAGGCAGGTGACACATTACACACTGCTCAGCATACACACTGCCTCTTGGAGGCATCAACTTCTGAGAGAATTAACATGCACCTTTAAAACACAAAACAAGAAAAGTTTAGCCGTGTGTTAATAGCAAAGCAAGTGAATCAATTCACAGCTCTCTTTAACCGGGACACTTGAGGCCAACTTTATTTAAACTGTAAAGCGAATCTGATGTACTAATGCCTTCTGCTATCAAAGTTTATTTTCTGTTTGAGACAATACCACGACATTTTACTGGAAATATATTGCATAAAAAGCAACACAGTGAATTCTTGATTTGTTTATAAATTAGCCACTCCTTAAGCAGGCAGGGCAACAGCTCTATATGGGAATTATGCCTACAGTCCTCCTGTGTATCAAAAGGAGGTTGTGAGCAATGGTTTTTTCTGGTTATGACATCACTGTTATTATGGATATTCAAGATATTAGAAGCTGCTTGCTGTCAGTTAAACGATCACATCTCAAGTGCACCTGCTTTATAATTATTCATTTTGGAGCAGGATCATTAACATATTCCTTTAGTCATTTACAGGCAATTTGACTCTACAGTAATGATTTTTCCCCTCTTTGTAACAAATTAATGATATATATATAAATACATGAGTATAAATGAAATTCATACAATTCATATCATAATTAGCGCATACCAAAAGTCTGAAGGCTGCCTAACTTGCCTTTTCTCCCTCTCGTAGGCAGCTATTCTGCAAAACTTAACAGCTACAGCACTGTAGATGACTCTTTCAAAAGAAAGGTGCCTGTCAATGTTCTCTTCTTTCAATGATAGCACAACTTAGTAGTCAGGTTAGCAGTTGACACCTTAGAAAAAAATTCTTTGCTCCAAGCTCAAGAGTAGAAGAGCTAAGAAATTGGATGTTCATTACCTCTATTCTGCAGCATAAATAAGAGAGGTGTTTGTCTGATATCTCTGTAATGGCTTTGCCCAGGTTTCAGATAGATTACTTCATAGCTAGACAACCTGGAGAATCATCAGGTAATTGGCATGCATGTATAAGCAACAGGAGCATATCCAAGCTCTTCTAGTACACCTTAAACACTAATAACTCATCTTGGGGTTTTCCACAGCTCATATGCTGACAGAACTTCCCTAAAACCTCCATCATCAGTGCAAGACAGTCCTGATCTCACCTTAGCTTATATGCAAAGCTCTTAATGGCAGACATTACTGCTGGGCTGTAGGATGCTATAAGACAGTCAGAAAACTGCAAAGTCAATTTGGCCCAAAGAATCTCTTTTCTGTAACACCAGAGATGCAATAATTGCCTACTCCTGGCAACACCTTATCCTCACAAAGTGTGGTAGACTACAAAAACACACAGAGCCTGCACAGATCATTCCCATGTATTACTTCTCCTTAGCATGTTGTTGGACTTCTACAGAGGCAGGCAGTGAGGAACATCAGAATCAAATCAAGTTCCCTTGTTAATTACACACAAAAGAAAGACAGCACTGCTCACTGATCTACTGGGCTGACGTACATTTGTTGAGAGTGCCTACATTGCCTCCAGCAGTCCTGTTTGTTACGCTGACAACAGAACAGCCAGCAGAACTTCAGCAGATGCAGGGAGTAGGGAAACAGACACATGGGAACGTTTCTTCTTTTAAACTGCCCCCCAAAAATATTCAGAAAACACCCATGACGTAGGGAAGTTTCTTCCCACAACTATTCTTCAGGAGCAACCTGGGAACATCCAAAAGAAAGAGACATCTGTAAAAAAGAAAGAAAAAAAAGAAGAAAAAAAAAAAAGATTTCCAGCTTCCTTCCTGGTGATGTTAGAGGGCTCCTAAGGACGCCAGAAAAGCCCTGGAGGAGACCCACAGGAGTGCGCTGCCATTGCTGAGCAATCCCTCCCAAACATGTCTACCAGAGGAACCCAAAGCGCCCTTATTAAGAGTGGCTGCACGTGAGCATAGGGAGCTTTGAAACAGCAATTCGTAGCTCTAAGCATCAGAACAGACTGTGACATTCTGGGTGATATGCATGATTCAGAACAACTCCTGGATATGTCTGAAATTATTTCTGTGCTAAACGTCTGACTAGGAATCTTGTCCATAAAACACCAGCATTTTTTTCCATTCAGTTTCACTGGGTCAAGATACCAGTCAGTGAGATGGTGAACTGATGGCATCTGAGAAACTCTGATGCAAATGTCCCTGAGCTTTCATGATCTGTTTCCCTAGTTATCCTGAGGAAATTACATCACCCTGTATAGAACAAAAGCCTTACAAAAATAATAGTTTGTTCTACAGTTATCACATTGTCTGGTTACAATGTGTCAATTTGACAGGTGCATAAAAAATTAAATCAGCATATTTACTAATGTCATCAGAGGGTGAAGGCAGCACCATTATTAAAAGTGTTACAGAAAGCTGAGGAATACTAATTACCAAATGACATACCAGTCAAAAATCAAAGCACAGAGACACTATGATGGAAGCAACAAGAAGATGGACTCTTTTTTTCAAGTGATAAAAAACTCAGACAATCTCACCATATAACAATACCCACTGTGCAGGATATGTATCATTCCCATGTATCACTTAGAAATGGAGATTCAAAAAGACTGCTGAAACCTTTGAATATTGCACTCACTATCAGGATAATTTACTGGTTTTAATATACAACTAAGATGCTACAGAAAACAAAACATTGGATTATAATTTATTTTACATTACTGGAAGATGATCCCTCAGTGTATTCCGCATTATTGAAAACTGAGCACTTGCCCTTTCTATTTTCCTCATGCAGCTCATGCCACCACCACTGGACCAGATGGATCTGCTCTGTAGCACTTTCTCTGGACCAAACATCTGTGGTGGTGCATGGCAAGATTTCACCTCTCCCAAAATGAAATCTGACATCTCTCCAGCTCTTAATATGTGCACTGCACACCCCTGCATACCAGACATGGTTAATTACTCCCCAGTCAATAAAGGACTGATTCTTCACAAGATTTATCCTGCTTTGCACCACGAAAACAATAGGTTAAAGAAATGCACAAACAGAAAGGAAGCAGCTGTTATTCTTCCACCCAGTGAAAGCATCAGTATACCAAGATAGACAGCCAAAGGAGAGTGCCATACATATATTCTCCTACCTCACACAGCTCTGCCCAGCTTTGGATGGAGACCAAGTCTTCAGCTTATAATGCCTTGGTGCTGTAATTATTCCCTGGGTCTGAGCTCCTCTCTTTCTCTTCCCCTCTCTACATCCCTTTCTCTTTCCTCAGGACAGAAGAACGTGAATTGTCCCCGGACACGGAATAAGTCCTGGAAAGAGAGATCCACTCTATTCTGGATTGCTTTTGTGAAAATTTAAAGCTGCGCATCTGAAGTTATCTTCCCTGTGCCAGCACTTTCCCTTTCCTTCTGCTAACTTTAAAGACCATTTTATAGCCTTCCCTGACATAAAGTTGCATTCACTCAGGTAGCAATACGCAAGTTTGAAGAAACCCATGAAACATCAGAATAATGCAGAGAGCTCATCACGACTCATTCTTACTTTCTTGGCATTCACTGAAAGCAGTTTTAGATTCATGAACTGCATGATATCACTGAATAGTGCCTGAGTGCCTTTTCTGGGGGACAAGACTTGCACAGCCAAAAGTCAGACCTGTATTCAGAGCCAGAACTGGATCTTCCCAGGTCTTTCCCAACCTGTCCAGCACCAGCCCAAGCAGCAGGCATCCCATTAAGTCCTCTTTTAAGCCTTCCTGAGCCTCCATAGCCACAGAACCAGAGTTGTAGCCCCCTTATAACCTGGCAAAACAAAGGGAGATGGACCTGATTTGCTCTGCAGTAGTGCAGAGTGTGGAAGTGAGGCAGAGAAAACTTTTCCACCCATCTTTGCTATATTTCTGCTTGGACCAGGTACTGGTTCAACAACTGAAAACACACACTACAGTAAAAGTTATCTTTAAGACATTAGCATTTGCCAGAAGTTCAGGTACCTTGACTGCTACAAAAAGTAAGGAAATAACACAGTATCTCTATGTGACACAGGCTAATAAATATATTTATATCAAACATTACACCACTTTTCATGTTTGACTGTTCAAGTAAAAAAATAAAAACATAAAGCAAAAGCAGGCTACACAGTACTTTATGCTCAGAATAGATTTGTTTCACTGAGGTACCCAAAAACAACATGGTTTGCTGATGAGAACAATAGCCTGTAAATTTCTGAATCTGAAATATTCATGAGAAGTAGGTAATGACATTTACAGCTTAACAAACATACACTTTGAACTCCTAATGAAAGATCATAAAAAGCCAGAGTGTAATATGGCATTATCCTTTGTTTTGGACTATTCTGAAAGACTCATTCTACACAGGAAAACAACTAGTGGAGTTGGGGAATTTCCAGTAAGAGCAGTCATCGCCTGGAAGGACATCTGTGTCCTACCCAAGGCTACAAGGGATCCCTGAGTACTGCTGAGTAACTCTTAGAGAGCAGCATCCCATCGAGTGGAATGGAACGTTATTTCCCGCAACAGTGACTGATGGCCAGTGATTAACAAGCGCTGCTAAGTATTTGACCCTGCTTTCCATTCGCTCTGTTGTTTGGTAGACAATGTTTCACTCAGCTGAATGGCTGATCTCTTTTGAGGAGAAAGAAAGCAATAGTCTGCCAATGTTATATCTAATTTCATTTTTAAATGAACATTATCACATTGTTACAGATTTGCCGGCTCTGTGCAACAATTATTCACTTGAGAATTCCAGATCCTGTGCTCCACAAACATACAGTTTTGCTAACTTTCTTCAAATAGATACAATTCTTGAGATACTTACGCATATTTCACTGATGGGAAAAACAAATCAAAACCCCAACAGCTATTTCTACAGCAAAAGTAAAAAAATGCTGTCGTTCTCAATGCAAAAATTTATCTAAATTTATATTTACTGTTGATCTGTCAAGAGATCACATGATATTGAGTTTAAATTTTATTTCACCCCTTATGAAAACCATTCCATAACTTGTGAATCCTCCATAAAATAATGCAGAAAAAAAAGGCTTATCTTATTAACAGAACTCAGCTAAATCAAGGGTAAGTTTCCCTCTGGTAATGAAATCAAACACATTGAAAGGCCTCTACAACTTTGATTAATAGGAATTTGGATATCCTATGCAGCATCTACTGACTGCAGTATTTAAGGTACCAGATAGTCTCGTGTTAATTGATGCACGAATGTTTAGATAGATGACCAAGAACATGCTAGAAGCCAACTTGAATACACCCACTGGTTCCCCTTGCCCTTCCAAGATATTTCAGTGACGTGGCACCACTCTTCCTTACCCCAGACAGAGGATGAGAATTGCAGCTCATTCCCTTAAATCAGGAGCAGAAGCCAGAACATTAAGCACTACTTTCATTTCCCTTTTTCAAGAGTTCAGACCTTTCCAAACCCACATCACGTGTTCTTACCAGGAGGTTGCCCTCTCTTCTTTTTCTTCTACTTGAAGCAGGAGCCACTCTCCACTACATGCAATATCTTGTTGCTCTGTTTTCACTTGGCTTGCAGTTTCATTACAAGCATTTTGCATATCTCTGGCTGGAACCTGTAGATGAGAACAGCTTTTTAATGTTTGCTGTAGTTTCAAAGAAGTGTGTATTTATTCAACTGAAAGCAGTAATGATGAAGGAAAAAAATATTATTTTCAATGTTACTTTCACTGCACATTTCCAAGATGAGGCACTGAAGCTTCATTTGCAGTCTGCTGCAAAGGAAATCAAGACGTACATTTAATATGAAAATTGTGCACTGCAGCAATATGGAAAGAAGAGATGAAACTTCTGACTATGTATCTCAAGATTGGGTGACAGAACATGCTATGCTGCTATACATCAAGTACCAGCAGCCAAATGTTGGAGCAATATCATTCCCTGTTCATTTAATGCATCTTTGTGCAGAAGCTGACATCTGTGTGAACGTTATAGGACACTCATTTGTAACAGAGGTTTCTCTTTGCAAAAACAAAGGCTACAAAATAAAGTTTCTCAGTTATCTGGCTACTAAGACAGAAGATAATTAAAGCTGTCTTCCACAAGATGGCTCCCTCTTGCTGTTTGTATTACTGACTCTCAGCAGTGTGCAGGGAACATAAACAATATTCAGGACAACTGTGTAATTATGATTTGGAGGAGTAAGAGTGCCTCCACATGGGAGCAGAAATGCTTCACCGAATTAGGGCAGCTAATGTGACAGTCAAGAACTGTATATCGTTCATTTTCTACAGATTGGAAAGGGGCTGGAAGGTTCAGTGGGGTGATTTAGAATCACATCTTTGGAATGGCACACGCTTGCTCCACTTGCACTCCAAGCTGGGGTCTTCAGCTTCTCAGCCACACCTCTCAAGTTCGAAATGCAGGAAAATGTCTAAAGTGCACCTCTCAAAATATGGTTTATTAAATTGACAAAAATAGGGTTAGGTCTAATGTCTAAAAGGAAAGAGAAAATTGCATTTCCTACACATTAGAAATGAATTATTTTTATGCAGCTAGAAACTGGCCACTGAGTCCTTGTTCCTTACTATATACACTGCACTCATCATTTGACACCAACGCCCTCATGCTACACCACGGTTGCCACTGTAGCATGTTTCTACTAAAGGAAGGAGCTCTGCTCTCCCTGCGTGAACTCCCTCATTCTAAAGCAAGCACTTCTTGGTTTGTATTAAAAATGAAACTACCTGGAGAAACAAGCTGTAAGAAGAGCAGCCATTCTGCTGTAACTGCTGCCAGTCACAAGCAGGACACACAGCTTCTCAGTGCCAAGAAAAAAGTGAGAAATGCCCTCCTGTCTTCACACATGATTCCACTTACACTACCATTACACTGCAGCAACCCTGTTGTTTTCTGCACAGGTGCAACACCACACTTTCAGGAGAACACAGTCCCACTCCCAATGGACAGCCTGCCCCCAGTGCTATTTCACAGCCCAGGTAATGATCTTCTCCATTGAAACTCTGATGTCCTCCCCAGAAAACATTCCTATTTCCTACTTGTGCCCACAAGTATCAGCACTGGTGAGAAGAGTTCAGTGAACACTTGGTAAGCTGTACATAGCAACATAACTTTTTCTTTAGCTAAGGCAGTGAAAAAGAGGTTTGTAATTCATAGTGAACATGAAGGTTGTCCTGGTAGCAATATGACTTATCTCCAAGCTGACAAAAATTAAGGAAGACTTGCTTGAAAGAAACAGGAGGATATTTCCCTCACATGCCCTCAAATCTGTGTTAAGTCAAAGTTTTTTCAGTTCTACTGTCAGTGAAGCTTAGGAACATTAGTAAAACCTCCAAGAGCCAGTTCTGATGCCATACCAATTTGAATTGCTTCAAATGATCTTATTCTATAGAACACAACACCAGGTAATCTGAAAAAAAAAAAAAAAAAAAAAAAAAAAGCCACAATTTTTGCTTTCACCCTTGTAATTTCCTGGAATCATGCTGCGTTGCTGACTTTTAAGCAAAAATCTTTATAAAAACCCACTGGAAGTTCTATTTAAGAACTGGTGGCAGGATATGGGCTACTGACTTCTGTACAGTTGCTCCAAGCTCAACTGCCAAAATCTGAGCAGCATGTCCTTAGTCTTTCCTGTAATCTTATGCAAGTTTAAGACACGTTACACAAAACATGTTGAACTGAACGAAAACATGCACAGGATTCCTCTGGAGTCTTTATGGACCAATTTTAGCTTTAGTTTCTGTGGGGCTAATTTACACCTCAAGATACACTCAATGTGAAGAAAGTTCACTTTACCTGCACATCAAGGTTTGTGTGAGAATTGAGTAAAAATTGTTGCGGCATTACAGAATGCTTCTTATATTTTTAATTTTCTATTAAGTTTTAAAAGAGTACCAGCATCTTTATTGCCAAAATCATTTGTGAAATCACATTAAAATACAAATAAGACCAGTGAAATGTCAACAGAATTGGTTAATTTTCCTCTGCTGGGATGTTTTGATATTTAGGGAATATTTTATGTCTCCAGAGACCCAAAAAGCAAGTCATCCAAAAAGTGGTGTGCATGCAGAAAATCATCATAATACCCTATGGGACCAATCTGAGCCCATCAAAATCAACTGAATTCTCACTTCTGACTTCAGAGAGGTTCAGTGCTGCTCCTCAACATGCGATTTCTAAGCCTAAAAAATCATTAGGCCTTCCAACACCTCCCTGTTACCAACAGCACTTTAACAGACTCAAACTCCCAGGACAACATACAAATGAAGACTGACGCAGTACTACAACCTATGGAATGCCCAATCCTACATAGATCACTCCAGAAGTGAAACCTCCTATTTATTTCCATGGAAACCATAGCAACTACAAGACCACAACAACACTATTTGACGGAGTAAATTCTCAGCTACAAAATACTATTTTTCAACACAGTCACTACTGTTAGCTATGCACTTCCACTGGTGTTGAACAAGAGCCTGCATGCTGCTCTCGTAAAAATCTGCAAGTCTAGGATCTAAGAGCAGCCCCTGCTCGAAAAGGAACTTTTTCTCTTTACTATGAAATAACACCAAAGTAAAAATTAAAAGACAATAAACAGAAGTATTTAGCAAAAATTAAATGGAGTTTGGCATTGTAGAAGGTAGATCAGCAACACAGGAATTTTCACTGGATATCAAAGAGTTTTCAGAATAATAATGTCTGTGCAACCAGACCTCAGGCTTGTAACCCAGCTCCTAAAATCATATTGTCACTGCTGAGATTAACAGAGGTCACCAACACAATTACCATCACCAAAATAAAAATAAATGCATTGCCAAAATAATTTCTAAAGTTTGTATTTTGGTTCACTGGAATCTGGACCTCTTCATCTTTAGAAGAAATCTGCAAAACCCACTTTCCTGCCAAGCACTGCCCAGAAAGCACACACAGTTTATCATGGCAACTGTTCTCATGTCTAATGAGAACTAATATTTACTCTGCATAGGGAAAGTGAGCTATATGCTCCCCACTCTTTTAGCTCTTCATTAGCTTCATTTTACAGTTGCATGTGTTTTTGACACAAGCACTGGAGAAACCTCTACATGTGAGTATTACAAAACATAAATTAATGATATGACTGGCTTCTACAAAAATTCAGCATGCAGTTTTGTTTGTGAGGGTTTCTAAAGAGAGAATGCATTGTGAGCACCTGCGCAATTACTAATGAGTATTATAACTGGACACAAGTATTTAGCAAGTTATATCTAGAGTGGCCACGCACACCTCCAGCCTTGAACTGGCAAACTCATGCTGTGGGACAGCTGCTAACAAGGCAACTGCACCAACCCAAGCAGCACAAACCGAGCTGCTGCCTTATCACAAAACCAATTTATGTAGTTTGAAGATTGGACCTGGATGATCTGATCTCAGCCTTACGTATTTGGAAAGCTTTTATCTGCATACCAGTAGAGCACACTTCTGAAAAGCAGAAGGACATTTCTCAGTTGAATAAATAAATCAGTTAGGATTTCAGTCAAATTATTTACATATTCTCAGCTCCAGGTGAGTTCCCTGCTCTTTTATCTAATTCTATTTTGTGCATGTTTAGGAGCTACACATTTGCCCATCACTATTTTCACCCATCCATCCACACCAGAACATGCAAAAACTGGGAATGATCGTGAGCAGCATGTAAACCTTTTGTATAATAAGCAATTTTCCAAAATGCTGGGAATTCCTGTAAATTATTTCTTCCTGGAATATGGATGGAAGATGATGGCTTTGACCCTTTATACAAAAATCTGACAATCTTCTTAACAAATATCTCCAAGCTATAGCAGCTAACACATATTTATGTGAAAGATGGCTCAGAATAATTGATTAGGTTTGCTAAGGTTCCGGTTAAGAAACTGCAGCTGCAATCTCTTTTTTTTCCTTCCCTTACTGTTTTCTTGCATAACAATTTCTTCCTTATCATTGCTCATTTTCATGCAGAGCATGTTTGCTTTTTTGCTATGGTCAGTAGACACTCCATTTTAATTACTTCAAAGGTAAAAACATTTGAAGGCATTTGGCTCTTATTTCAGGTAAGAAAAACAAGCAATATGATGGTTATAAAACAGCATAGGAAAAAATATCTAAAATGCAAACATACCGACCCTCAAAAAAACAGATGCATAATAAGAACATCATTTGCTTTGTTTTTGCCTAGACCTTTTCCTAGCAAACTCAGCAGAGGCAACAAGTTAACTTATCTGCTACCTAACTCTTTACAGAGGTTACTGTGTAGTTATTTGTCAAATGCAAACCTACAACTTCATTACTATAATTATGTACTAACCATCCAATTAACTCCTGGGGTAAATGCATGTTGCTCTTGCACTTCCTGCTCCAATACACATTTAGCTTTAAATTTCTGTTCTTACCATGTACCCAGCAGTTATAAAGCCCTTTAGAAACACGAATTCCCCCGTTATTGATACTGGGCAATCAGATAAGTTGCAAGTGCATGAGTAGCTTTAAGAAGTTCTTATGGCTAGATAAGAAAGATATTTAGTATGAAACACTGTCAGAGGGAGCAAGAAAAGGAGTCTATATGTTCTGTGAACTTCCCTGA